TAAAATATATAAATTATTATTTAAACTTTTAAATTTATAATAAATAATTTAAATTGTATTATAATATTAATTTTAAATAGAAATAAGTAGATTATTAATTATCAAAATAAGTATATATATAAATAAAGATTAATTAAATATAATATAATAATAATTATTATTAGTAATATAATCATTATATATATTATTATATATTTATAACGGTCCGGACACACCGAAATGAGAAAGATTCAAAGATAGTATAAGTATGAGATTGTATAGTTGAGGATGACTTAAATGAATTAATTTGCACTACCTATACTAACAACATGCATCTGCTTTTCTGTAACTTATCTCATTAGAACTTCACAGTTAAGCGTGCTTACCTTGGAGTAATATAGGGATGGGTGACCTTCTGCGAAGTTTCTCAGAAATTGTGTAATTAAGAATAAAACATGCTGAAAAGTGAAGTATTGTGAAATATAATCCTTGAGAGGTCAAATATGAGTGGTTCGTAGCGACCGAATTTGCAATGTCTATAAAATTTAATAAAAAATAAATATTTAATGATCGATTTATTCGGTCACTAATTGGAAATTTTTCGTCGCTATACAGCTTTGCGACCAAGATTTTAGCGAATACTTAAATTTGGTCGCTAAGATAAATAGTAACCGATTTTAGCAATTTAGCGACAAATTTTTGTGGTTGCTAAATGCCATATTTTTTATAGTGGTATCTTGTAATTAAAGCATGAGATTTAGCATGCCTTGACTATTATGAATTATATGATGTGATTAATTGTGATAATTATTGCTTCTTTAATTACATATTATTGTTATGTTTGTGGGTAACTACTCAACTATTTTTTACATCAGTAATAGAAGTGAGATGTTTCTCACTCCTATTTTCTTTGTTATCTTGTTAATTTTGGTGTGTTTTCATAGGTGATTTTAATTATAGAGGAGTTTGAGCTTATTATTGGACTCGCTCTAATAAGATGTGACATCGAACTTTAGATAGGGATTATTTTCTCTTATTGTTGCATTAGCAATTTTAGTTTCTTTAAAAATATTCCCCTTTCAATTAAATATTCTTTATCATTGGTTTTAGTTTTATTCTTGTCATTTGAAAGAGTTGTAATGTGATACCTTTGTCTTTAATTTTTTTGTCTTTTAATAAAGTATTTTTTAGGTCTATTATTTTATAAAATTGAATTTATGTATGAGAGGTAGAAAGTGCCATATTTAGTGGTATCAGAAGGTCACCCACTCATAATTTATGGGGAACTTCTTAGAAGGTCACTCATTCACCTATTTTCTAGGAAACTTCCCAGAAGATTACTTATTCCAAAATTGCTCCTAACCAAACTCACTTAAGTATGGAGTTCTTATGTAATGAGCTACCAAAAGATAGATGTATCTTATTAGTATAAGTAATACAAATTATTGTTTTTTAAGTCATCTCCAACTGCACAATCTCACACATGTACAAATCTCTAAATCTCTCTCATTCTAGCATGTTCGAACTGTTATAATATGGACATATGAAAAACATCATTATATATTTTAATTATTTAAATTTAGTCAAAATTGTTGAAATATTAAAAATTAATTTTCTTTTGCATAATATATATATATATATATATATATATATATATCATCTTATTTTTTCCTTTTATTTTACAAAAATAATTTTTATAATATATAACAATTCAAATTTACATAAATCTAATAATAATTAATAATTATTAAAATATTTTTATCCAATTTCTTCTTTTATTCTGGAAAAGTAATTTTATAATCAATTAAATTTTATAGAAATGACAAGAAACAATTAAATTTGTCTAAATAAAGACATATAGACATATAATTTAGTCAAAATATTTAAAATTAATTAATTTTATTTTATATAAAATATATTTAATAATTATTTATAATTATTGAGGTATTAATTATTTTGATATATATATTTACTCAATTATATTCATTAATAGTGTAAAAAAACAATATTCACTTACGATTTATTTTATAATAACATCATATATAGTCATATTTAGGAGGACTTTTTTTTGGAGGAAAGCTTCAAAATTATATATAAAAATATTTAGAAATTTTTGGAAGAAAGAAGTTATTCCTTTTATGTTTTTTATTTATATTTATTTATAGATATGAGATTCCACTTCTTTTTTTTTTTTTTTGTATATTCCGGTTTAATTTTTGTTTTATTAGTAGTTTTAGGTTCAAGTTATAACTGCAAGAAACAGTTTTTGTATTATATATTAACTTTATCTGATTGGTGATTTAATGCTTGCGTTGCTAAAGCTCTTTATGGCCGAGCAAGTGCATAAATTCTGGCTGGGCATTTTGGGTAACCCCTAATTTAAGAAATGTTTATATTTAAAGTAAAATATTTAAAATGAAAATAAATAATTATTTGAATTTAATTAAAATACAGTAATATATACTCTATCATTCAATCACATATCGTCATATAGATTAACTATTTTTTATTTTTATAATAATTACTTTAAAATTATCTAAAAAATATTTTTATTTAACTACACTAGAAGAAATATTACATATAATGACATACAAAAAGTATCACTATAAGTATATATATGTAGGTATATATCTATTTTACATATACCTACACACAATTATAGTATTAATTTGAATGAGATTTAACAATATATTTTGTATGCTAATACCTTATTATACCCACATTTTTTTAATAATATACCAACATATATTATATTTATTATGTGAATAAAAGTAGTTTTTAATGACACATTATATTATTATAAGATGTGTATCACTATATAACAATTTTCTTATAGTGTTATCGATAAATATTTAGTGCGTCTCTACATTTTAATTAAAGTTTCCTTCCTCAAAATACACCGATCTAAACTTTTGTAACCATAATAATGGAAGGAGGCTTTTTCGAGACATTAAAATTCAAAGCATATTTTATAAACCAATGGAGATAGAGAATAAGAGAGAAGACACAAGATCTTTCTGGTCCAATTGCTGCAGGAATTGGAAATCAAGAAAGCCACTTAGAGAAGACGTTTCAGATTCCTCATCAAATTCAAGAGCAATGGAAAAGAAGCCAGGGTGGAAGGCCATTTCCTACATCTTAGGTCTCTGTCTGAACAAAAAAAATGTGCATGTATATGTACAATTATAGGTGTGTCATTTATTGTTATGATAACTAAACTCTTACGATGATTTTGCAGGAAATCAAGTAGTTGAGAGGATTGCAACACTGGGCATGATGGCGAATTTCATGGTGTATTTGTTGCAAGTCTTCAACTTGGGTCAGGTTGCTGCTTCAAATATTCTTGGCATATGGATTGGAGTGAGCAATTTCACACCAATTCTTGGTGCCTGTGTTGCTGATGCCTATCTAGGAAAATTCAGCACCATTGCTATTTCATCATTTGGAACACTCGTGGTATATGCTCTCCTCAATTTCACATAGATATTCATTACCATATACCTTACATGTCAATTTAATTTGAGACTCTTAGTTGTTATGATTAAACTTAGCTAGTCATCCCCAGGTTTGGGGAAATACCATTTTACTGACCCTGATTTTATTCCGTCCACTTACAAATTCATAAATTTAATTAACCAAAATTGCAATTTATCAGTAAAAAAAATTTTCATTCTCTTTGTAAAGTTACGGGACATGAGTACGTGTATAACTTAGTGTGTGAACTGTGAAATTGGACGTTTCTTAGATATAAGCTTGTGTGCGAGATTTTTTCGGTTGACATAGTTAAAATTCAGAGCCAGATAAGGAATTAACAAAGACTTCGGTAATGTATCACAATAGAGCAATGTGATGTATGATAGGGATAAACTCAATTTAATCATAATTGTTATAGTTAGAGATCCCACATCCTTTGCTGATATAGTCTTAAGAAAATAGATCTATTCTTATGCTCTTAAGAAAGTGAATTTTTTTTTTTGGTTCGTTCCTGGAGTATCTACCACCGACAGCAGTGACTAATCTCCTCGCTACGTTGGAGGCACCTTAAAGAGTGGGATAGCTGGCCCCAAGATTTAACGCGGCTGCATATACAAGGTAGGATTCAAACCCCTGACCTTGCTTAAGCGTGGATCAACCCCTACCGTTAAACCACACGCTTGGGGTTTAAGAACCTCTAAAATTACTCTTTTACATATTAAGAGTTAAATTTGTCCAATTAGACATTCATTGATAGTCCAATATTTATCTAACCAACAATCAAGGGTGAAGTTTTCCTAATTGGGCACTAATAACAGTCAAACAATAATTGTTAAGATAAACTTTGATATTATATTAAAGAGATCTCTAACACCACCTTCTTACACATCAAGGGTGAAGTTTGCATGCTTGAACATTTACTGATAGTCTAATAACTATCTAACCTCAAGGATGAAGTTTGCTAGTTTCGATACTAATATTAGTCAAACATAGATTGTTAGGAGAAGTTTTGATACTATATAAAGAGATCTCTAAAATCACATACCCTTTTACATATCAAGGTGGTTTATTTAATTGTAATTGACTGATAATAAAATAACTGTGTAACAACACTTCAAGTATATGAAATTTGCCAAATTGGACATGAAGAACAGTAAAGTAACCATTGTTAAGATAAATTTTGATACTATATTATGAGATCTATTATACCACCCTCTTACACATCAAGAAAGAAGTTTGCCTTATTGGACATGTATTAATAGTCTGATAACTCTCTAACAACATTATAATGGTGAAGTTTGTCTAATTGGACACTAATAGCAGTAAAACAACCATCTCTAGAATAAGTTTTAAAACTTCATTAATAGATCTATTATACTGCCCTCTTACACCACAACTTATAGTTTAATAGTTGTCTAACAACACCTAAAGGGTGTTGTTCAAATTGGACACTAATACCAGTCAACCAAAACATTGTTTGGAAAAGTTTTGATATTATATTAAGAGATCTCTAAAATCACTCTCTTACATATCAAGAGTAAAGTTTAGGTAATTGAACACTTGTAAATAGTTCAATAATAGTCTAATAATAATTATTAAAATAAACTTTGATATTATATTAACGAGATGAGTTTGAAACTAAGTCAATCCCTGTAAAATTGACTAATAAGTTAAGAATTATTCTCATTTATACATTTTTTATTTATATCATTGGTCAATGTAAAATTTCACGAATTTCAAAAATATAAGAACCAAACTTCTATTCCCTAAAATATAGGTCTAAAATAAATTCTGGTTAAAGTTTTACATGCTTACATTTATAACACATTTTTTCCTTAATATACTAATTTCTTGATTATATAATCATTTGCTTTGTTAATGATTAATTAGGGAATGGTGATACTAACACTAACAGCTTGGTTGCCACAACTTCATCCTCCAACTTGCACTTCTCCCGAAAAATGTGTTCCTTCAACCAGCATTCAACTTGGCATCTTAATTTTAGGCTTGTGCTGGCTAGCTGTGGGCACAGGTGGAATTGGACCATGCATTATTCCCTTTTCGATTGATCAGTTTGACACAACTACTACTAAAGGGAGGAAAGGAGTGAACAGGTTCTTTAATTGGTACTACACTTCTCAGACAGTGGTCCAGTTGATTAGTCTTACAGCAATAGTATATCTCCAAAACAAAAGCTGGATCTTGGGTTTTGGCATACTAAGTGTCCTCGTGTTACTTTCAATTATCATATTTTTTGTTGGAGCAAACGTTTATGTTTACATTCCAGCGGAGGGGAGCATTTTTTCTGGTATTGTACAGGTGTTTGTTGCCGCTTATAAGAAGCATCGCCTCCAAATTCCGGTAAAAGAAGAGGAAGGTGTTTACTATGATCCCCCAATGGATGACCAAGAAACACTGAGGCTGCCCTTAACCAAAGAACTTAGGTAATGTGCCTCTATATTTAATTCTTAACTAACTAGAATTATGTTTCTTTGACTGTTTTCATTATATCTTATCAAAGGATAAAAGGTACTATGCGATTTCAAGAGAATGACAATTTGTTTTTTCATAGTTAATGAGCAGTTTATTTTATGGTAATTAATAAAAACTTAAAAGATAAAATTGAAAAATAAATTGTAAACACTAAAAATGATATTCTTTTTTATTTTTAGTACAAATATATCAACTTTTAAGATTTGACTCAATGGTGTAAAAACAAAAAAGATTTGATTCAAATGATCGGTAAAAAAAAAAATAAAAAACAAATTCGACTTAAATGAGTAAAGATAAAGTACCGAGCTATTATAAGAAAAAAAAAAAACAACGACAGTTGTCATCTGAATATATTGATTATTTTGTTTGTATATACATGTAATATTGACAATTGATATTTGATCTAATCAATAACTGATATTAATTGATCATTTAAAGAGTTACTCTTTTCAAATGAATGCGATCCCATCTTTTGTGATAAATAAGGAAGAAAAAGAAAGTTTACCTCCCATTTTAACTATATAAGGTGGAGCATCAATAGTGTCAAAAATACAAAATTTACAGATCACGTGACATGTAATGTATGTTTTAAATATTATTCGATCTCTAAATTTAGAAAATATTGTCACATTCATTTATTATCACTTTAGTCACGTTTTTTTTTTTTTTTTTTTAATTTTGAACTAATATGATTATCAATTTGTATTTTTAATAATTTTTTAGTTTCAGGAATTAATATAAATGTATTTTAAATTCAGGAAACAAATTGTGAGTTTACTCTATTATTTGTTATCAAGATTAAATATTTTTTTTGTGAATTACTAATGCAAATATTTGATTTTAAACTAAAAATACCACAAAAGCATGTAAAGTATTACACACTTAGTTATTTCTTGTGAAAAAGTTGGAGAAAAACATCATATTATTGCTCTAATTAAGGAGAATTTTACGAATTAAGTGTGTAACGAAGGTCCTATTTGATTTTTTTCCCAGGTGTTTAAACAAAGCAGCCCTGATACAAGGCAACGAAGTGAACTCAGAAGGCTGCGCGGAAAACCCGTGGAGGCTGTGCAGCATTCAGCAAGTGGAAGAAGTAAAATGCTTGATCAAAATGCTTCCGATATGGGCCTCGGGCATCCTCTGCTTCATCCCCATAGCCCAACAAGGCAGCTTCCCGGTCTCCCAGGCCCTGAAAATGGACCGCCACATCGGGCCCAACTTCGAGCTCCCCGCCGCATCGTTCAGCGCGGTGTCCCTAATCACCATCGCCATATTCCTCCCATGCTTCGACCTCTTCCTGCAGCCACTTCTCGCCAGACTCACGCGACAAGAAGAAGGCCTCACCAGCCTCCAGAAGATACTCATCGGCGACATATGCTCCATTCTCACAATGCTCACCGCGGGCCTCGTCGAGTGGCGCAGAAGGGTCGTCGCCGCCGCCGCCACGTCACGTGCACCCATGTCCGCCACGTGGCTGGCGCCGCAGTTCGTCTTCTTGGGGCTGTGTGAGATGTTCACCCTCGTGGGGCACATTCAGTTTTACAGCTCGGAGTCGCCGGAGAAGATGAGAAGCGTGGGGAACTCGTTGCAGTATCTCGTGATCGCGTTCTCCATCTACGTTGGGACGTTGGTGGTGAACGTGGTGCACCAAGTGACTCGGAAGCGTGGTGGGGTTGATTGGCTCCACGATGACATCGATGCTGGGAGGTTGGACTACTATTACTTCCTTGTTGCGGGGTTAGCGGCGCTCAATCTTGTCTACATCGTCTTCTGCGTTAGACGCTACCGTTATAAGATCAAGGTCAAGGTAGAAGATCGTCATGTCGACACACACCTTGACCCTTGAGGTGTATCGTGAAAATAATTAGTTCCATAAGATGAATAAAACTTCAATTATGGGTGCCTAGCTATAGTGCATCTATTATTATAATATTTTTTATTTATAGAAATAACAAAGATAGTAATAAGATTTAAGAGATTGACATATAAGACTTTATATATATATATATATATATATATATATATTTGTTACTATATATATATATATATATATATAATAGCATGTGTGTAGAAATAAACCGTAATTCAACCATAATTGTAAAGCTTTTCTCAAAAGTGGTAAAGATACACATACACAACTTAAACCGTAATTCAACCATAATTGTAGGGTGTTGGGTGTTAAATACTATTATCCTGTTCCTCTTAATACTAGCCTTTTATAATATAAAATTATGAGTTTTAATCCTTACAATGAGATGAGAACACAAGCTGCATGGTTGTGAGCTTCTGACCACTAAATTGGTTACCCTATTTAGGGAAAGACTTCTCACAATTTTGACATTCAAACATCTTCTCTCCTATAGGTTGCACTTTCGTAGTGTTTTGCCCTCGCCTTGTTATCCTTATCATAAATTTGGGACATATTCACTGGTATAGGAAATTAGCAAATCTCTAGGTAATTATCAATTTGCTTAACCTTGGAGCACTATTAGAAAAGTGTTATTTTTTTATAAATTTTTTTAAAAAAATTATTTGCAGAAATTTTTTGTAAATTTTTTTATAATAATAATTTCAAAAAAAAATTTACGGATATATTTACAAAAAATAATTTGTACATATTTCTTACAATTTTTTTTATGAAAAATAATCTACAAGAAATTTTTGCAAATTTTACTACAATTTTAATGATCATAACAAAAATTCCATGGTAAAATTTGAAAAAAATATTGTAATAATTTTATTTTATTTTTTTTTTTGCAGATTTTCTTACAAAAATAAATTTGTAAGTAATGTTTATTAAATGGTAGAAAAATTTTGCGGGTAACTTTTTCTGTGATTTTCCTGCTAATTTTAATCCGCATGAAAAATTTAAAAAAAATAAATTTATAAGTTTAATATTTATAAAAAAAAACTTTAAGTCCCACATCGATTAAAAATAAAACAATTAAAAAGTATATAAGTTGGGATAACACTTACCTGTTGAAGATTATTGATAGAATTTGTAGTAACTTTTTTTAATTTTTTCGTAAAAAATATTCCTGCAAAATTTTTATGAAAAAATTCGCAAGAAACTTTCCTACGAATTTTTATTTGTAGGAAACTTTCCTGCGAATTTTTTTCACAAGAAATTTCTCAGGAAAATTTCTTGCAAATTTTAAAATTCGCAAAAACATATTATCCATGAAAGTATTACCTACAGATAAAATTTCGCAGAAAAATGTGTAAGAACAACGTTTCCTGCAAATTCTAATAGTGGAGGCGCAAACAGTTAATCAACATCACACACTTGGATCTTTCTCCTGCCTCAAGGATTGTACTAAGAAAAATACGTTGACAACTCCTTAAACTCTTAAGCATATTTTACGACAATTATACTCCCTTGATTGAGTATTAGGAACTCCATATCTCCTAATTATAAATGTCCTCAATAAAGTACTTCTCCAAGAAAATTTCTCTAAAGACTTCCCTTCCCATGTTATGGATATAGCTTTCACAACTAAGCATTAACAAATATTCTTTGATCAATACGTAGCCTCCTCAACGAGCATAAAGGTGTCAAAGGCCTCCTTTATCCATTTGGACATGTCATTACATGAAAATTTTTCTTAATTTTCGTCAGCTAATTCTAAGTTTCATTAGTGTTGTAGCCTTTCTTGAAAGTAGGTATGTTTCTTTGAAAATGATATAGACCATTGTATTCAACAACTCAACCAACAATAACAACATTTTGATTTCTTGCAACGTGTACTAAGTCTTGCAAAGAATTAGTTATCACATAATAGTTCCTTATAGTCATTATTACTCCCTAAATAAGTTGAGATTAAGGATGTGCAAAAAATCAAATCGATTCGAATCAGTCTGATCCTTATTAATAAAAAAATCTAAACCAATTCATTTTTCAAAATCAATTTGATTACCTAATCTATTTTTACTAAGTGAATCGATTTAGTTCAATTTAAATCCATATATGAGTAAAAAGTAGATAATTGCATCGCATCAAACCAATTCAATTTTAAAAAATCTTATATATATTTTTAAAAAATCAAAATTTATCCACTGTATAAAAAATAATTGATTAACTAATTCACTTTTATATAATGGATCGATTTAGATTATCAAAAATTCGATCCATAAACACTCCTAGTTGAGATCATATAAGAAGTACACAAAAGCAAACATCATAATAAGTCAAACTACACATAGAAAATATATATAGAAAGCACAAAACACACTAGTGAAAAAATCGATTTATTTTAATATATCACTAAATATGAGGTCCTCTATCTTCCTAATATTAATATAATAAATAAAAAATTTACAATTAAAGAAAACAACGAGATTTTTAAAAAGTATTCGCAATAGTAAAAGCTTCACTTTAAACAATTAGTTGCATATTCGAGAAAGAAAAAAACCCTAAAAGACACAAGAAACATTTAAAAAAAAAGGTTGTCATTCCAAAAGTTACACAAGTTTAAAAGGCAAACATAACTAAACATAAAGGAATGTAAACACAACTAAACTTCAGCAATTCTCAAGTTTTGATGTCAACAATAAAAGTAAAATTATATGTTATTAATAAAATAATACATAAAATAGATATATAGTTACATATATTATAAATTATATGTTATAAAAGTTAAATTAGTAATATACAAAATATGTTGTTAAATGTCATTCAAAATCAACACTAAAATTATATGTAACTTTAGACTAAAAACTTAATTAATTTGGTCCCTTATATTATTTTAAAGTTTCAATTTAGTCCCTCTATAATTTTTTGTTTCAATTTGGTCTCCAATAATTTAAAAAATATCAATGCGTGAATTCCGTCCAAATTTTACAAACGGTGCTAAATGTGGATGACGTGGATGCCACGTAGATGCATAGGTGGCAAGCTTCCATACGTATGTTGTTGTCCTCCTCCTCCTTCTTTAATGCATCTAGAACGACCCGTTCTAGAACCAGAACGGGAGAACGTCAACAAGGATTAATGTTTAAATTTAAGTGTTACATTAAAGAAGCATTAACTGATGTTTAAATTTAAGTGTTACATTTCAACAAAATGTTCAACAAAATGCAGCAATGTGGTTCAAAAATTGAAAACAAAAATTCATAACATAACATAAATTCAAAGACTGAAATATATGCATCAGAGTTGATCTTCTCATCCCTATTTTTCATATTGCCCATATAAATAATAAATCAGTTAGGTGTACCTTACTGTCTGAGCCGCCACGACCTATAGTAGTAGATGCAATAAGCCTATGCATAATTCTAATGGCAGGGTGACCAAATGTAGATGAATTGCATTTACTAGCCTACTATTGTGTATAACCTGTTACAGCCCCCAAAACATGTATGGATTAAATGATCTTGGGTTTATTTTTTCCCTGGTTTGAAATCCAAATGTATCATTGAATTCCTCCAAATTGAGACGATGCTCTATATTAAAAAGTCGGTTAAAACCCTAATTTAGTCCATCATAATATTTGTTTATTTCAATTTAGTCCCACTTTAATTTTTTATTTCAATTTGGTCCCCAATAATTTAAATTATTGCAATGTTGAACTTCCGTCCAAATTATTTGAACGGAGTTAACTGTTGGTCACGTGGATGCATACGTGGGTGCTTAATCTTTCCATGAATTTGGAATCAGAACGGCCCATTCTAAAACCGGAACGGCCCGTTCTGGTTGCACTCATGGTGCGTAAATTTTGCATCCGAAATGCCCGTTCCAGATGCATTATTTAAAACCAACGAGTGCATCAGAACGGGCCGTTCTGGTTTCCAAAATGGGTCGTTCCGGATTCAGAATGGGTCGTTCCAGAATGCCAACCAATACATAATGTGGTTCAAAGATCAAAAGCAAATCATTTACACATTCATAATTTTTTTTATCTAAAAAATAATATATTTTAAAAAATTGTGCTTTCTATTTATTGTATATGTTGATAAAAAAATCAAAATTGTAAAAATTTATATCACATATCAAAAACATCTTTATATGATAAATAAATTAAATTTGATTTTTCGAAGATTTAACATATTTATTTTTATGTTTTTATTAGTGTTAAATTATTATTAAGTAGGTTTTTAAGATTGTAGTTCTAACCAAACATTTTAAAAAATGTCTATGATAAATAAATATATCATATTAATAACATGTGCTTTTAATAAAATTTAGGTTTAATTCTGTTAAATTATAATATAACATAATCTGACCTAGTTTATTTTCATCCTTAATCGTAATTGTAGATATAAAAACTTGTAAAAAAAATAAGTATAATATATATTTATACTTTTAAAAATTATATGTAAAATTTTTAATATTACAAATATATAAATAAGTATTGCCCCCACGATCTAAAATTTCTGGATCTGTCACTAACTATAATCATCGAGTTTGTATTTGACATTTTGGAACCAGAACGGTCTGTTCTGGTTGCACTCTTGATGTGTTAATTTTGCATCTGGAACGGCTCGTTCCAGGTGCAAAATTAACATACCAAGTGTGCAACTAGAACGGGCCGTTCTGATTTCAGAACGGGTTGTTTTGACTCCAAATGCATTAAAAAAAATTGGCATCCACGTGTGCATCCACACTACGTGTGCATCCACGTGACATCCACGTGGCCAGCAGTTAACTCCGTCTAATTTGGACGAAAGTCCGACATTGCAATAATTTAAATTATTAGGAACCAAATTGAAATCAAAAATTAAAGTGGGACTAAATTGAAACAAACAAATATTATAAGAAATTAAGGTTTTAACCTAAAAAGTCTAAAGGAAATCAATCCTGGTCCACAATTTTCCCTGGTCAAAATTTTAACATGGAGAGAACTAAGAAACTCAAGAACAATCCTTGGATCTGGAACAGCCCATTCTGAATGTTGTTGCCTCCTCCTCCTTCTTTAATGATCTGGAATGACCTGTTCTAAAACCAGAACGG